TAGTGATGAGGCTCATACGGGAAATTACCCTCTGCCTCTAATTGAAGAACATTGAACATTACGTGTGAGTAATGGAGGATTTGATTACATTTCAAATGGGAATTCGTCATGTATGTAGCAAATGGAGCGTGAACTGAAAAGCCAGGAAGCACTGGACAGCTGTTTCGACCTGTTTGGGTCTCATCAGCTGCAGTGTTCATCCACCAACCCAACTGGGGATCGAACCCGGGACCTCAAAGGCGAAAAGCTACGCGCTCGGCCACAGAGCAGTTGATCAGACCTTTCTGTTGTTCAAGCCACCGATGCAAACTGAATCGCAAGCCATCCTAAGCTATTTTTCTTACCTCAACTTTGCTCACAGAGATTCTCAGGAGTATATACATATAGTTATGATTGACCGACATTTACTCGTATTTCTACAAACCTAACTTACTTATCCTTCTAAAAAAATAAGTAAATCTCATACGGGCACTATGTCCGATGAACAGACTTACGCGCTTCGCCAGTTGTTTGCACTTCTCGGAATCCGCTTCCATCGCTCGTGCGAGGTCACAAATCGGTGTGGCAAGGATTAGCGGACCGCGATAATTCTCGGCCACCACAACTAAATCCTCTATTTCCTGCAAAAAAATGAAAAACGAAATGCAAATATATTCAATAAATTACATTGGTCGTATTCATGAGTGCAGTCAAATCATTTGGTTTCAAGTAGCTCGACCATGCCCGAGTGGGTAACAACCCTTCGATCGGTTCGATGAAGGCCTCCACTGCAACTGTTGGTGACTCGTATCGGATTCCGTGCACCGTGCGCTTGGCATTAGGGAACACAGTGCTTCTGGCAGACGCGTCATAAGCAAAGTCAACTAGCAAACGATCAACACTCTGCTGCTGCTGCTTTAAACCACATTTGTGACACTGACCAATACCCTTCCAGGTGGTTTTGTCCGTGAGTCAACTTGACCTAGTTTTAGTATATTGTTTAATCGATTAATGTATTTTGATGATCAGCCATTAAATCGCTCAACTGGTTCCGATCAACACGTTGTCGTGTGTGTTCCGAATTCTCTTGTTGGGTTACAAGCCCCTAACGATACTATGCATTAGCGTCGTGATTGGAATTCGTATTGCCATGGATAAACCAGGCTCATGGAAATATAAAAGTTTTGTTTTTTGTTTGGTACAAGAGACTCCTCCAGGGTCATCGAGTTCTTTCAAGGAACTACCTCCGGCCTGTGTACAAACATCTAGGGATATTAAGTAAACAGTGCGTTGATTCATGTTTGCCGATAGCTTACCTGGAATTCGATGAATGTCCCCTCATGTCCATTTCAGCTTCCTGGATCTACAGCTGTGAGGTGAGTGAGTGAGTGATGGAGACCAAAAATGCAGCTTACATCCAATGGGCATGACAACCTAACAGGATACTTGTGCTATTCTTATAGTAATCAAAACTCGTTCAAGCGATGAACAGGTGCTGTGAAGGTTGAACAACGCTTTCTATTGATCTCGTGGTAATGGGAAATATTTTAACTTCTGATTATTTGATATCAGGCAAATATAATTTCACTGATTAATAAAGCCAGTCACAACTGATCGCAGAAGTCCGTCGTACTGGGGGAGGAGGACTGGTGAACATGATTCGAAGACTTCTATTGGTTTCCCTAGAAAATCAACTTATTTGATCATTTTTTATCACAATTTAAACATAGGTGATACTGTGATGATCAATGATCTAAATTTCGTCAGTTGACTGCATTTCGTCTGTAAAATACGCTTAAATTTTCTTCTCGGGTTCCCAGGACCGATATCTACAAGATAACCAATAAATATGTAAAATAAATGAAAATTAAAAAGGTAAAATAACTGTAAAATGTTTCAAATCAGTTTGATTTGTCTTACCTCCTTATCTGTTTGGTTAAACCTTTTTGTTCTAAAATTGTTTCCTTTGCCTCAATATAGCTTATGTTTGGTGAATACAAGGCTTTCTCTTCGGGCTGTGATGACTCGGTGGTAAAGGATATCGAATTATTAACCCGGAGGACGTGGTTTTCAATTCCACTACCACCGCCTGACTTTTCGCGGTATGTGTTGTATGGCAGCCCCATTTGATTGGTCGCTTCTCCCTCCCGGAAAATTGTACTATTGCATACTCAATAAAACGAAGTAAAAAGGAAAAATGAAAACGAAAAAAAATGAAATGAGATTGATAGATTATTCCAACAGTAATCAATATTGTTTAAGTAGTGATTGAGGATTCCATGGTCCTTTTACCAGTCACATCGTTTCTATTATACAAGCGCTTCATCCAGTAAAACCTCTCAGGGATGAAGTTTAAAGATAGAGAGAGAGTCAATGATATGATATGCGTCTTTTTGCGGTTCATTTGTTGAAGTCGAAAGGTGGTCTTTTTAATGCGATGGAAGTATTTGTGATAACCAACAAAGAGCACTGGACAGCTGTTTCGTCCTGTTTGGGAATAGTCAGCAGTGTGTACTTTTTGTGTCCCTGTCAAGACTCTAACCGCGAATTTTCGGGCTGGGACTTCAAACCCGTATCCCTGAGCTACACGGTCGATGATTATCACCTTGTGCGAACGGCTCAGTCAATTCAGATGGTGAATGTTTGGATTGGCCCATTCGGCACCAGGTACTGTTGATGATGTTCGATGTGGGTTTCACTCCTTAGGAGATCATTAATTCCCCACTGTTTGTTCGCATTTTAATGCGATGGAAATGTTTGTGGTAAACAACAAAGCGCACTGGACAACAGTGCCTGGTGCTTGTGAAAAACCGAATGGGATAATCAAAACATTCACTATCTAGATGGAAAAATGGTCGTTCATTATTCTTGTCTGAAACCTGTCCTCCTATTATCCATGAGGTGTATCAATTCCAAACAACCTCGTATAACAGCGCGTTTACTCGAAGTTTTGAAAGTCAGTTGATTTGATAACAACGAATAATTCTTTCATACTTTAGCCACGATCCTCGTGAGATTGTTAGCCGTTGAAGGCAATTAATAATTTATCCAAAGTCAATATTTTGTACCATTTCCGGTGTGATAAACGAATAGAGTTATTGATTTGATTTGACTATCCTTGGGACTTCAGCTTCAGTCAACCATACATTCGGAAGCACTCGGTTTGAGTTTCGCTCTTGTAAGAGCTCATCACTAGTGCATATCTACTGTACCGTCCGGGTTTTGAACTCTGAACCCATCCCATGGAAGGAGTGTTTGTTGACACTGTTCCACTGGCTGACTATCACTGAAAAGGACACCTGAACAAACACGAATTTTACAATTCGGTTCAGTCTTGGCATAAGCTGGTTGGCACAATGATAACATACGCGCCTTCCATTCTGTGAGTCTGGAGTTTAAAACTTGGATGGGACGATGGGTATGTACTACTGATGAGCTATAATAAGAGTGGAAATCGAGTCTAGTGCTTCCGAGAACATAGTTGACGGGCAGAACTGAGGAATGTGAGTGGAGTTGAAGTTCGAAGGATGGTCAGTTCAAATCAATATCAATTATCTCACACCGCTACTCACAAGTGACTGTGAGTTAGATAGGAATAGAGTTAGTTAGCTAGATAGATAGATTTCATTTTGTCATTTTTACTTCCTTCTGTTGAATATACAAAAATACAATTTTCAGGAAAGGGGCAGTGCCAAATCAAAGGACTGCCAGTCAACACCTAATGGGGAAAGTCAGGCAGTGGTGGTGGGATTCGAACTCACATCCCCGGGGTGATAATTTGTGATAATTTATAAACAACGAGAGATAGAAAGGATGGATATGCAAATGCAATTGGCAACTATGTAGATAACGTAACAACCATTTTGGCAATAGATGGATAAAATTGTTGAGTAATTGACAAGCGTGGCACCGAAAAATGCTTGATTTTGTCACAATGGGAGAGATGAGGAGGAAAACAAATGGGAGCGAAATCACTCACTCACCTGTAAACTCAAATCGTTACTGTCAAAAGCCAGACGGGTCAACTGATTGCTGGCTGCTAGGATACGGGTCAGAATACGTGGCACAGTTGGGCTATCCTCGGTGGCATTTTCAATTTCCACCGAGCCGACCTGATTCCCACTGATATCCAGCTGTCTGAGTGAGGTGTAGTGAAGTAAATCGCCAATCAAATAGAGCACATCACTTTTCAACCCGACATCAGCCACCGAGAGATGTCGAATACGCTGCGCAGTGGAATCGACCATCGAGGGTTTGAAGGAGGGGGTAATGAATAACGGAAAGGTTAATAATTGCTTTTATTGTATAAGCAAAAATATTTGAGATCTGCAAATTGGGATGTACAGTTCACAGTTGGCCCACCAACGTTTACAGTCCTGTTTAAAACACTAATGACCTCCTTTATGTTTCCCTCCACTTTGTCCTGGGAAAAATATGCCGACACTCACCTATTAGATGTTTAGGTAATACATTCTTTGTTCCATGGTCTGTCAACGTGTTGTTGTCTGGTTAGTTAGGTTTTGGTGTGATTGCCATGGACCTACTTCACTGGAATTTTTCCGGTCCGTTTGCAGACAAATAAAAAAAGGCTCAGTCGTTTTTTGAGAATACCTTACGAAACGTGCAACGCTACGCAATGGTTAGATCTCGTTCTATCAATAATTGGATGGTCGTATGCATTAGACATCATGAAGCTCTCTGCATGTGACCTTCAAGGGTCATCGGATGGCCTCGATACTTTTTGAATAAGATATATGAGCCACAGAAAAGAAGGTTAGGCCAAATTAGGAGTTTCGGACTCTGGGTCCTCTTTATTGACTGTATCAAGACTGAAAGAAGACACTTATTGCGAGATTTCATTGTTCGGTTTAATCTCTTCAATCACTGATATCAAGCAGTTTACATATATAATGAGTAGTATATGAATGGCCGCACAAAATTTTTCAGAAGTATACGACCGGTTTCGCGGTCTTTGCCAGTCTTCAAGTATGCGTATCCGGTAATCTTCTGTCTGGTTATTCTGGAACGTGTATTCCCAATGTGAATTATGCAATGCAAATCTCATTTGCAGCCCGCGGAGTGGATTTGAGACGAACAAGTCGCAAATAATCATAGTGAGGTTAGACGCATGGAACCAACAACACCTGTTACAGAATCATCGTAATGATCATATATATATATATATATATATATATATATAGTA